AACTAGGAGTTGGTTCTTTGAAAAGGTCAATAAAATCGACAAACCATTAGCAAAACTCACAAAAGAAAAGAAGGAGAAGACACAAATAATCCGAATAAGAGACAAATCAGGCAACATCGCAACAGAACCAACTAAAACAAAAAAGCTAACATTAGAATATTATTTTACATTTTTGACACCTCCTTATCTTTACAATACTTTTGGTAAGTTACAGTTTTAACATGTTGCCTCCCAATTGTGTGTTGCCTAGAGGCAGTCTTTCCGTTTGGTTGTCTATGGTCCCTTTTTCTTGTGGCTAGGTTTTCATTTGGTTGTCTTTTGAGTGACAAGAAACTAGAGTCTTTCCCTTTGCCCAGACATGGTGGATTCAATTCTATGTTCTATACCATAGTTTGATAGGTGGTAGATTTACCTTCAGGATAGGCAAGGTCCCAGGGTTGCTGCCTGGGGTATAGTTCTCAGGGTAATTGTCTAGGAAAGTGACAAAGTTCCAACAGTGTGGCTCCCAATTCTCAGTAATTTCTTATGCCCATGAACTTCTCCCTTTACCCATGGATATTGTGGGGGCAGCTATTTTTCCCCCAGAACATAAAGAGTCAGGGAAATTTCAATTTCTTAGCATTGCAGTTCATAATTCTGACTATCCTCTAATGTCCAGGCATAACCTGCATCTTCTCTTCAGAAGCCACTGGCTGAATTGGTAGCTATTTCCACCCCAGGGAACATATTCAAGGAAGTGCCAATTTCTCAGCAATGCAGATTTCAATTCTGAGTCCCAGATAATGTCCATAGTTTCACTGGGGTTGTTTCCTAGGCAGTTGTTTACCAGCTCTTTCTGATCAGAGTCTTAGGAAAGTGACAGTTTCTCAGCATTTCAGTTCACAATTCTGGTTACCCTGTATTACCAAAGCATATCTGCTTCTCCTCTTCAGAAGCTTCTGGGTGACTTCAGTATATGTAAACATGGATGAGTGAATACTTTTAGCATTGTACTCGTTGATGAAAAATCTCAATTGATATTAAACTAAAGTGTGTACCAGTGCCTCCAGTGCTCCCAAAATTCAGTGCTTCCTCCAAAATTATTAGTTCTTGTTTATGTACTTGCTACTGAAATTGTGAACATCAATCAATTCTTTTTGATAGAGTGATTCTATGTATTCCTTCCATCATCATTTTTTAATAGAAAATTATTTATTTTGTTAATTTTGTGCACATGTTTGTTTTCTTATGACTAATTGAGGGTTATGAAATGTCTCAATACCCCTTCAAAAAAGGGGTTTCTTACACTTATTATGCCATCTTTTTTTTTTTTAAACTGGAAAATAATTTTTTATTGTGACCCCTCCATCTAGTCCTGACATTAGGCACCTTCTTCTTTTGCAATGCGGTCTTTTTTAAGTGGTCCCATGAAGGCCTTCTTCTCCTCCATTGTCTGGAAGCGGCCATGGCCAAACTTGGAGGTGGTGTCAATGAACTTGAGATCAATCTTCTCCAGAGCCCGGCGTTTGGTCTGCACCAGCAAGGACTTGCGGAGAGTCAGCACTCGCTTCTTGGTCCCTACCACACAGCCTTTCAGCATAACAAAGTCGTTGGTCACTTCACCATATTGGACAAAGCCACCCAGAGGATTGATGCTCTTGTCTGAGAGATCGTAGTCAGTGGAGGCATTGTTTTTGATCAGCTTGCCGTCCTTGATAACGTAGCCTTGGCCAATCTTGTAGATTTTCTTGTTGATCTCCGTGCGGTGATGGTAGCCCTTCTGCCCAGCAAGGGCCACGGAGAAGGCCACTCGGGCAGGATGCCAGGCCCCAATGCAGGCGACCTTGCACAGCCCTCTGTGGGTCTTGCGGGGTAGCTTCTTGGTGTGCCAGCGGCTGGTGACCCCTTTGTAACCCTTTCCCTTGGTCACTCCAATGACATCAATCATCTCATCCTGGCCGAACACTTGGCTCACTGGCACCTGCTGCTCCAGCATCTCGCGAGCCCAGTCCAGTTTCTCAGCCACTGTGCCCCCATTCACCTGGATCTCCATCAGGTGAGCCTTTTTCTGGCGCAAAGGAAGCAGGCGCATCTGGGTGTGGGCGATGACCCGGATGACCTGGCAGTACTTCTTCATGCTGCTAAAGTCCTTTTCTAACAGCTTCTTGCCATCCTCATCCTGCCATTTCTTGCAGTACTTGGTAAAAGCCTTCTTCTTAGACTTGTGCCAGTTCTTGTAGAAGCGCCGTTTGCATTCATCACTGATGTGCTCTGCAAAGACAGTCTTGAAGGTGCGGAGGCCGCGAGGGGTTTCCACGTAACCCACGATGCCCACAATCACCATGGGAGGCGTCTCCACAATCGTCACCGCCTCCACCACTTCCTTCTTGTTTACCTTGGACCCCGGCCTGTCCACCTCCCGCACGATGTGGGTCATGCCGGCCTTGTAGCCCAGGAAGGCTGTGAGGTGCACGGGCTTGGTGGCGTCATCCTTGGGTAAGCTCTTCACCTTCCCGCGGTGCCGGCTGCTGCGTTTTCGAGGCAGGAAGCCCAGGGACCCATGCCTGGGGGCTGAGAACTTCCTGTGTGACATCCTGACGTCGGTTTCCGCCGGTTATTATGCCATCTTGATTTATCTTTTATTTTTGTGTCATTCAACATTTTGTTTATAGAATCTGTCATTATTTTAATTTGATACCAATTTTTTTTTCTTTAGTTCTTTCGGCTTGAGAAATGTTGAGTGTGTTCTTTTCTTTTTGTTTACAACTTTTTTTACCCTTTGTTATATTATCTTACTTTGTTTTCTTAGGCCACTCTTTCAAGTCTTCTGCTCAGACCTTTCACAATTTTCCCCTTCCTCTTTGGCTATTTTATGTTCAAAAGAAAGTTTCAGAATATCTTTTGACATATTGTTTTGCCTTTCTTTCCTTTCTTTCTTTCTTTCTTTCTTTCTTTCTTTCTTTCTTTCTTTCTTTCTTTCTTTCTTTCTTTCTTTCAACTTTGCAACAACATTTTGCTTTCCTAATGTTGTTCTTATTGCTGTTGTTACTGTTTGTTGTTTAATTGGGAATGGAATCAAACCACAGATAACCTACTAGCAGGTTTTCAGAGGCAATAAATGACAAAAGAAGAGATTTCCCATCCTTCCTTAATATCATTGAAAACTCATTTGGTCTTTGATCATTAGTGTTCAATGCATCAAATTGCTTCTTGAATTTGTCTCTACATTCTGGTGTAACATTCACATTGTTATACATTTGTTTTTATGCACTTATTTCAATTTTCTTCAGCTTTAACATAAATGGCCTCATGAGAAATTAGTGGTCTCTTAAACAGCCAACAGTGGCTTTGTACTGACTGAAGATAATGTACCTTGCTATCATCTCCTTCCAGAGGTGTAACCAATAGACACAAGGAATTTAACAGTAAACAAAACAAAATGAAGATTCACCCTACCCCTTCTAATAATACTGGAAAGAGTGAAAGGTTACTCAAAGAGAGAAAGAGCCTCAACAAGATGAATTGACTCAGTGACTGCAACAAAAGGTTTGAACAAGGTAATTGTTGTTATTGCCAAGTACAATGAGTCAAGTACAACTTATAGTGACTCCCTGAATAACAGTTCAAAGTCATGTCCTTCCTGTACTATCCTTATCAACTCCAACACCCTTGTGCCCAATGCTTCAGACACTATATCATTCCATATCATAGATGGTCCTACACTGTTTTGCTAACCTGACACCTTATGAAGCATGATATCCCTCTCCAAAGAATAGTCTTTCCTAGCAACATGCTCAGATCATGTGAGACCAAGTTTCGCCATCTTTTCCTCCAAGGTTCATTCTATTTCCACTTTCTCCAAGACATAATTGTTCTTTTGGCAGTTCATGGAATGCTCAGCACATTCCGCCAACACAACTCAAAGGCATTGATTCTTCTACTCTCATCTTTTCTTTTTATATTCGTTTCCTTACAGTTTGTATACATTGTGTTTCACACTATTTTTCCATTCACATTGTGTTTTATACATTTTATGCATTATGTTTTATAAAATTAATCATCATTGGGCCTTGACCATTATTACCTTGTCTTTTAGCACTGATCCTTCCCATTTGGTCTCCCCACCCCCTGCCCTCCACCCACCAAACTGTGCAGCCCTGTGATTTCACTCTCACCTATCTTCACCCCTCCTTGCCCCCTGCTTGAGTTCCCATACGTTTTACTAGTTGTCCTTCTATTTTTCACAATAATGGTATTATCAGTATTTGTCCTTATAAGGTTGAATAAGTTTCAGTCTCTCCTAAGTTAAGTAGAGTTTGTGTAAATCATTGCTCCCTAGTGATGCATAGTACTCCATTGTGTAAATGTACCACACTTCTTCAATCCATTCAATTGTGATTCGACATTTGGGATGTTTCTAGGCCATGGTCTTTGCAATCACTTATTATGCATCAGAGAGTTGGACAATGACTAGGAAGGACAGAAGGAGAATTGATGCCTTTGAGCTGTGGTGCTGGAGAAGAGTATTAAGGGTACCATGGACTGCTAAGAAAACAAGCAGATTCATCCTGGAGAGGGTTAAACCAGGCTGCTCCTTGGAGGCAAGGATTCTGAGGCTTTGTCTGACTTACTTTGGACATGTTGTAAGGAGGGACCAGTCCTTGGAGAAGGACATCATGCTTGGGAGAGTGGAGGGATGGCGCAAGAGGTAAGGGCTTCTATGAGGTGGATTCATTCAGTCACTGGGGTAATGGGGATGGGTGTATCAGAGACAGTGAGACTGACAGAGGACAGAGCAGAGTTTAGGGTTACAATGAGTCACAAGCAACTCGACGGCACATTACAACAACAACAAGTAATCCATAGACTGCTAAAAAATATTTGTTCCAGGAACTAGGCAAGGATGCCCATTATCTCCTCTCTTATTCAATATTGTATTGGAAGTCTTATCGATACCAATAAGACAAGAGAAAGACATTAGAGCTATCCAAATTGGGAAAGAGGAAGTAAAATTATCCCTCTATGCAGATGACATGATAGTATACTTAGAAAACCCTAAAGACTCAGCAAGAAAACTATTAGACATAGTTGACCAATTCAGCATGGTAGCAGGATACAAGATCAACATACAAAAATCAGTTGGATTTCTCTACAATGACAAAGAGAATACAGAGCTGGAGCTAAGAAAAGCAATACCCTTCACAATACCTAATCACAAGATCAAATATTTGGGAGTAAATATAACTAGAAGCACAAAAGATCTATTCAAAGAAAACTGCAAAACATTATTACAAGATACAAAGAGACCTGGAGAAGTGGAAGAATATCCCCTGCTCATGGATAGGAAGGCTAAATGTTGTGAAAATGGCAATACTACCAAAGGCAATAAACACTTTCAGTGCAATCCCAGTACAAATACCAGGTCCATTCTTCAACGAGATGGAAAAGGCAATATCCAGCTTCGTGTGGAACGGAAAGAAGCCACAAATAAGCAAAGCACTCCTTAAAAATAGAAAAAAGGTAAGAAGCATCTCACTCCCTGATTTCAAATCCTACTACACTGCCGTGGTAGTCAAGACAGCATGGTACTGGTACAATGACAGACACATAGATCAATGG